TCTCGTTAGCCATGAAGGCGCACAATCTGCTTTGGGCGATATGTGGAGAGGGTGTTGTCGTGGTAACCACGGTCACAATCTAAAGCTCCCTAACAACATCAACTAACTACTACTTAACACTTGCTTAAGGCACAGTTACAACGCTTTCAACATCCATGCTATTATTACTGCTTGCATCGTAGCCTAGAACTAAACTCATGACGGCATCGATACTCCACATTGCACTAACGGTCTACTATACTTGCGATCATTGTACCTCTATATCTATATGTTACGGCCATTCCTAAGATTGATTTTGTCTGTAAGACGGGGGACAAAAGCAGTCTTGGGAATGGCCTTAACATATAGAACTTCCCCATAATCTTTCCAACGTATCGGGGTAAGCACCGCCCCGTCGAAGCATTTTTGTTTCTAGTGGGGATTTCCCACTTTCCCACTGTTGTGCGATTCTATGCTGCCCTTCTTCGAATGCTTTTCCATTGGGTTCCTCGCTTGCCAAACTTGTTTCTTTCTCGATTCTTTTCAATACCTTTCACTGAAATAAAATATCAATGTGAAAAATTGTTTAGCAATATTCAATTAGAATGCAGAGATTAGTCTGCAAAAATGGCTACTAAAAATGCGGAAGGGAGAATGTTACTCTATGGTAAAACGTTTCGATTTTTTCTTCTCAAGATATTTCAAGCTTGCTATTGGCATCATCATGTAAACAGCTCGGCTGGACCTTATGAGTTATTTGCTTAACGTAGATTAGTTTGCATTGTGCAATCGCATAGGACATAACAAGTATTTCCATTGAGTAGATGGAAGATGCAATAGTCCATAATTAGCATTTTATATGTCGATTTGAATGGCTATCGACGAATAGATAGCTTTTTCTACCTTTAAATGTATTTAGAATCATACTTAATGTTACTATCGAGCAAGAAGGCATAAAGCACCATACCTTTCAAGGACGCCAGGAAGACATTTCGCGCAGCATAGTGATGAGTGCAGCTAGTATAAGTGCTTACTGTACATAAATTCGAGATTTTTTATACGGCTTAGTATGCTAGAATAGCGAGTGTACTATAGTTTTTAGTATTCACTTTATATGAAGACTTTTAGCATACCATAACGTGTGGAAATCTAGCCAATATATCAATTATTCTACGAGTGTTGACAATATACACAAAAACCCATTGTATGGCATAATGGGACGTGCAGCCAGAATTATTAGTGCATATAGCATTATCAATTAAGATTTTTAGCTCAGCATGGAATGCGAGTGCCGCTAGTTCAATGAATAATATAATTAATAAAATTATATACGTGCAATGCATACATAAAGACCTTTCGCATAACATAGTGTAAGCCTATTTACGGTATAGCTACTAATATATTCATCATTCTAGGTGTACTGAACATCAATACTTTTCGCACAGCATATCTTCACCGCGCATCAAGATTTTTCACGTAGCATGCTGTTCGTGTATAGCTAATATAATCCTAAATGTATGTTACATATGAAAAATTTTCGTACATCAAGATACGCAAGTAAATATAGTCTGTGATCAAAAGGCAAGGTTGAGAGGAACAGGTTTTATCCGATAAAGCAAAGCATGGGTTATTATTTCATCGCCAATATTCTGTTTTTAGTTTAGCCTATAGTAACCTATTAGCTAAGTCAGCTTAAAACTTTATCGTTTTCATGATATCTCTGCTGTAATACAGTAATCTATAGAGTGCATAATGGAATTAAAGTATCGACTTCTACAAAGTTAATGCTGTTTGAACTCTTCCAAGCATATTTATTGTACCGACATTCTTCTAATTTAAACTTATCATTGATATCAGCAAGTAAACAACTTAACTAGACCGCTGTGTTAATTATCTGAAACTACCACAGCAATATTCGATCATTAGCATGTTATACGTCGATTTGAATGATAATTTGCGAATGTTACTTACAGCAATTTTCACTGAAAGTGTTTACTATACGGTAAATTAAGATTTTAAGCACAGCACGTGTACAAGTGCTGCTAGTATAATTATAAATGTACGTGTATTGTAAATGTAGACATTTCGCATGACACAGTGTGTGAATACATCTACTCTTTATTGACTTGCATTAAGATCTTTCGCACAGTATGGTGTACAAGCAAAGCTAATAGAATTTTGGGTGTTCACTATAGATAGATAAAGACTTGCACACAGCACAGTATGACAGTACAAAGACTTTAAGTATTTATTCGCGTATTTGCTAACGTCACAAATTTCGATCGTGCGAGATTATATAAGTTTCAGAGCTAGCATAGGTTAATAAATGCTGCATCGATGAATAATTAATCAGGACCCACAATACCGACAGCATTTAAGTTTATACCCCTACTGGTAATGAACTATTTCTAAAGAAGACTGTGTCGTTTTATTACGTCATATATTCTTAATAATAATTTAATAAGTTTGTCGATACGTTGTTTTAACGTCATTAAGATAGAATGGCCCATTATTTTGGTGTTCATTGCTATGAATATTATCATTAACAGGGCATTCCTATGCGTACTACGATTAGATGGATCCAATGTCTATAAAGATAGATGATAATTTAATTATGTTTATGAAAATTTGTTATTAATTAATTATTGAGTAATACATTCTGTTATAAGTCATGCCAATTACTAGTGTACAAGTAATATTTTGCTGATAGTATTTGCACCAGTTCTTTCAGATCTTAAAGTAGCTGGCTTGATGATAAAACGACATGACGATATTATTATAGAAGTAGTTGTAGCCATATGTAAGACAGATATAACCGCTATAAATCAAATCGAAGCAAAAATTGAAGAATGCAAATATTCACAAGAGAGATCTGAGGGAATTTGTGCCAATCACAGAAATTCTATAAATCATAATAGCTTAATTACCTGCCTGTCACCTAAACGATCAACAAATCGTCATACTGTATGCTGTAGTTAATATACCGTAAACGATACACATATTGCATAGCTATTTTGATTAAATCACTATTAATGACTACGATGCAAATTTGTAACCAAATACAATCAATCAAGAAAGTTAAATGCTTAGCTATTGTAGGATGATAAGATCATTACATTCTAATTTGGTTCAATATTGTTGGCTATGGTTCCAGCTGCATGATCTTACTTCATAGATCGCTATTCATGAACGAGATATACTGAACAGTAATCAAGGCTGGCTTATTTACAGACTTGGCTGCTGATGTAATAGTGACTATTTTGAAGGAATGATGTATCACGGACTTACGCAAGTTAGAGAAAAACAGCATAAAAATAAACATGTTTTGATAAATTACCACAAGTTTTAAGCTACTAAAGTGAAATGCTCCATCCTGTATAGTGGGATGCGTCTCATATAATCAAGGTTAGACTTTGATGCAATCTCGGTGTCGAAAAAACTTTTAGACACTATCACGCTGCTAATAAATATAATAAATAGACGAGTATCATCCGAAATAATGTCAAATAATTATTAAAAGCAATTTAAAGACATTCCGTAGATATGGTTGTTCTTGATGTCAAGTTATCCATACATATGCATTAAAATATCTTTTAATATTTGCAAGAGAAGTATTAAAGCCCAACGAACACAATTTATAATAAAATAGCAATTTATTGCTATTTTACTCTTTACTTAATTTATGCTTTTCGGCGCGTTTAATGGTGGGCTACTATATTTTCATACTACCCAGAAATGTTCTCGCGATAGAAGGTCCCTTGAACTTTTCGATTAGTCATCAGCGCTTTAGTTTCGGTTATAAATGTTTTTTATCGTGAAATCTTTCTATAGTAGAAATTCTGTAATTGTTCATCGATACTATCTAATCAAAGTCATAAACTGCCTCAAGCTAATTTGCCCTACTAGAAGCTGATGTCTGATGATCTTCTTTGCTATCATCAAGCCTTAAGATCTTTTCCGACGCATATCAAATCTCTAATTGCCTTCAACTACGCTTAAAGTAACGTACTTGGTAATTGATTGGATCAAGTTAGTATTATAGTTTATCGTCCCCAAAGTAAGCTAGAAAAGGGAAGGAAAAAGTTAAGTAAATACGAGATTGAATCGGCTATGTTTGCATTAACGATTCCATGGAAATGGATTCGTGCGATTCTATGATCTATAGTTTATCGTCTCCAAAGTAGACTGGGAAAGGGAAGGGGAAAGTTAAGTAAATACGAGATTTAATCGGCTATGACGGTATTAACGATTCTATGGAAATGGATTTGTGAGATTATATGATCTATCAATCTATGAAAATGATGGATGTTTTTTTAAATATGAAAAGTTGGTATAAAAATGGCGAACAGAGATTTATATCCTGTTTTCATCTTGTAAACTTGTGTGCTTTTATTTGTTGTACTTTATTACAGTGGCCCGACTCTACTCCGTTGTTTTCGCTCGTATAATCTTAGGCGAGTTTTCCACGATAATAATTACCGTACAATTAAGACTAGATAATAATTCTCCAGTAGCATTAATTACTCTTGGCAGTTCTTTGATAATGTGATGAACACATGATCTTTACGATTACCACTTCAAGAAAACTATTATTTTTCTACTTGGATAATACGTAGACTTATCAAACTTTATGCAGCAGTTAGCATTTAAATAGGTTATAGAGAAAGAAATCTTGACTTCTATTCTACAGCGTCATAAATTGTTTATTTATTTAAGTGCATGTTGTGTACTAGGAACTACTGAATAATTTAGGATTACAAAACTTAAAAAAATAGATAATCTTTCCATTATCATGCTTTACTATTGTAACTATATTGTCTCAGTATTAGTGTTGCCTAGATCATATTGCGATAAGTTAGATTGATGTTACCGGATGATATATCGACAATGAAACAACTTTAAACGAACTATCGAGTTGATCGTTCGTACAGTTAATAGAGTTGTAATCTCCATCGAATACTGTAGATTGTTGGTAATTTTTTCTCGAACTCCATGCCTTCAGTCTTGTTATGTATTGAAACATGGCGAATGAGTCAACTGAATTGACTGTCATCGACGATATCCAATCTATCTACAAAAAAGGTCTAACACTTCAGCAGGAAGGGAGTTATGAAAAAGCGCTATTCTATTACAAAGAAGCTGTTACTCAAATCCAATCGATATCCAAGAATGATGATAAGCATCAGCTTGAATACGATGTTATTCTCGACATTACTGATTGCTATTTAAAGCAGTACAAATCGAATGAAGCCGATGAATGGAATTCAAAAGCAGAGAAACTAGCCGAGCAATCACAAGACGAAGTGAAAATTTCAAAGTGCTTAGATAGGCAGGGGTGCAATAAACGATTGCAAGGCGATTTGAAAGGAGCTTTAGATGATTTTAAGAAATCGCTTGAAATGAAATTAAAATGCTTAGAAAGTGAAGATATCAATATTAGTCAGTCATACCTTAATATTGGCAATGTCTATGATGATCAAGGTATGTATAATGACGCCCTATCAATGTATAACAAATCACTCCAGATTCAACAAGTGCAACTTGGTGAAAATCATCCAAGCATTGCTACAACGTATAACAGTATTGGAAAAGTCTATTATCATCAAGGCAAGTATGATGACGCTCTATTAATATTAGATAAATCATCAAAGATTCAATTAGTACAACTTGGTGACAATCATCCCGATGTTGCTATAACTTATAGCAGCATTGGACAAGTCTATCATTATCAAGGCAAGTATGAAGATGCTCTCTTAATGTTGAATAAATCGCTGAGTATTCGACAAACACAATTTGGTGACAATCATCCAAGTATTGCAATAACATATAACAGCATTGCAGCTGTCTATCATCATCAAGGCAAGTATAATGATGCTCTATCAATGTGTAACAAATCACTCAAGATTAGACGAGCACAAGTTGGTAATAATCATCCTTACATTGCTGCAACATATAACTGCATTGGACAAATCTATAATCATCAAAGCAAGTATGATGATGCTATTTCAATGTTAAATAAATCGCTGAGCATCCAACTAGTACAACTTGGTGATAATCATCCAAGTATTGCTACAACATATAACAACATTGCAAGTGCCTATTATCATCAAGGTAAATATGGTAAGAGTCTATCAACATTGCATAAATCGCAGAAGATTATACAAGCTTATCTTGATGACGATCATCCTGATATTGCTGTAATCAATAACAATGTGGCGCTTATCTATAATCAGCAGGGCAAGTATAAGGATGCTCTATTAATATTAAACAAATCACTCAAGATTCAACTAGCACAACTTGGTAACAATCATCCTGATGTTGCTGCATCATATAACAACATTGCAAGTGTCTATTGGAATCAAGGCAAGTACGATGATGCTCTATCAACGTATAACAAATCACTCGCAACTCAACAGGTACAACTTGGTGACGATCATCCCGATGTTGCTGTAACAAGTAGTAACATTGGACAAGTCTATAGTAGTCAAGGCAAATATGATGAAGCTCATTCAATATTGACCAAATCACTCAAAATTCAACAAGCACAGCTTGATGACGACCATCCAAGTATTGCAATAACACGCAACAATATTGCAAGTGTCTATCAGCATGAAGGCAAGTATGATAATGCTCTATCGATATTAAACAAATCATTGAAGATTCAACGAGCAAAACTTGGTGATAATCATCCTGATGTTGCTAAAACCTATAGCAGCATTGGACAAATCTACGATTATCAAGGCAAATATGAAGATGCTCTGTCAGCATTGAATAAATCGCTGGATATTCGAATAGCCCAATTCGGTGACAATCATCCGAGTATTGCTACAACATATACCAGCATCGCAAGTGTCTATTATCATCAAGGTAAATATGATGATGCTCTATCGATGCATAACATATCACTTAAGATTCAGGAAACACAACTTGGTGACAACCATCCTGATATTGCTGCTACATATAATAATATTGCTCGTGTCTATGATCATCAAGGCAATTATAAAGATGCTCTATCAATATATAACAAATCGCTAAAGATTAGACTAGCACAACTTGGTGAAAATCATCCAAGTATTGCTACAACCTATAACACTATTGCACGTGTCTATGATCATCAAGGCAAGTATCATGACGCTCTATCAATGTTTAATAAATCACTGAAGATTCAACAAGTACAACTTAGTGACAATCATCCAAGTATTGCTAAAACATGCAACGCCATTGCGCTTGTCTATGATCGTCAAGGCAATTATGACGATGCTGTATCAATGTATAATAAATCATTAAAGATCCAACTACCACTACTTAGTGATAATCATCCTGATGTTGCTGCAACATACAGCAATATTGCAAGTGTCTATGATCATCAAGGCAAGTATGATGACGCTCAATCAATGTATAATAAATCACTTAAGATTCAGCCAGTACAACCTGATGAAAATCGCCCAAGTATTGCCACAACATATAACAACCTTGCAAGCTTCTATATCCATCAAGGAAAGTATGAGGATGCTCTATCCATGTATAATAAATCACTTAATATAAGGCTAGCACAACTTGGTGACAAGCATCCCGATGTTGCTATAACATATAGCAACATCGGACAAGTCTATAGTCATCAAGGCAAGTATGATGACGCTCTCTCAATATTGAATAAATCGCTCGATATTGAACTAACAAAACTAGGTGAAAATCACCCTAGTGTTGCTGCAACATATTACTACATTGGAGTTGTCTATGATCATCAAGGCAAGTATGATGATGCTCAATCCATGCATAATAAATCGCTCAAGATTAGACAAGCACAACTTGGTGAAAATCATCCCGATGTTGCTACAACATATGGCAGCATTGGACTAATCTATAATCATCAAGGCAAGTATAATGAGGCCCTGGCAATGTATAACAAATCGCTGAAGATTCAATTGGAACAACTTGGTGACAATCATCCAAGTATTGCTACAACATATATTAATATTGCAAATGTCTATCATCATCAAGGCAAGTATGATGATGCTTTGTCAATGTGCACTAAATCACAGAAGAACCGACCAGCAGCAATTGATGACAATTATCCTGATAATGCTATGATATATTTTAACATTGGGCAAATCTATTATAGTCAAGGTAAGTATGATGATGCTCTTCCTATGTATAATAAATCGCTAAATATTCAACGTACACTACTTGGTGACATTCATGCAAATATTGCTACAACGTATAACAACATTGCCAGTGTCTATTATCATCAAGGCAAGTATAATGATGCTCTATCAATATTGAATAAATCGCTTAAGATTCAAATAGTACAAATTGGTGACAATCATCCTGATGTTGCTTTAACATATAGCAGCATCGGAAAAGTTTATGATTATCAAGGCAAGTATGATGATGCTCTGTCAATATTGAACAAATCGCTGACTATTCAACTGGCACAACTTGGTGAAAATCATCCTAGTACTGCTACAATATATAACAACATAGCGCTTGTCAATGATCATCAAGGCAAGTATGATGAGGCCATATCAATGTATAATAAATCGCTCAAGATTCAACTAGCTCAACTTGGTGACAACCATCCAGGTATTGCTATAACACATAACAACATTGGGCAAGTCTATATCAATCAAGGCAAGTATAACGACGCTCTATCAACATTGAGCGGATCGTTAAAAATTGCACTAGCACAACTTGATGACAACCATCCAAATATTGCTACAATCTATAACAATATTGCAAGTGCCTATAATCATCTAGGCAACTATGAAGAAGCTCTAAGCATGTTGAGCAAATCGCTTAAGATTGAGCCAGCACAACCTGGTGACGATCATCCAAATAATGCAGCAACATATAGCAATATGGCTAGTATCTATCATCATCAAGGCAAGTATGACGACGCTCTTTCAATGTATAACAAATCACTCAAAATTCAACTAGCACAACTTGATGACGATCATCCAAGTATTGCAAAAATACGCAACAAGATTGCAAGTATTTATTATCATCAAGGTGAGTATGATGAGGCTCTATTAATATTGAACAAATCATTGAAGATTCAATTAGTAAAACTTAAGCACAATCATCCCGATGTTGCTATAACTTATAACACCATGGGACAAATCTACCATTATCAAGGCAAGCATGATGATGCTCTGTCCTCGTTAAATAAATCGCTGAATATTCGACTAGAACAATTTGGCAACAATCATCCAAGCATTGCAACAACATATAACAATATTGCAAGCGTTTATGATTATCAACGCAAATATGATGATGCTCTATCAATGTGTAACAAAGCACTCAAGATTCAACAAGCACACTTTGTTAACAATCATCCTGATATTGCTACAACCTATAGTAACATTGGGCATGTTTATCATGGGCAAGAGAAATACACGGATGCTCTATCGATGTATAAGAAGTCATTGACGGTTTTCTTAGCAACATTAGGTGAGAATCATCCTAATACTGCGCAATGCTATCGAAATCAAGCCGTAGTCAATCATCACCAGTCGAATTATCCTCAAGCAATTTCATTCTATCAAAAGTCTATCAAAATTCTACGCAATCGCTATGGAGAAAATTACCCTCAAATTGCAGAAGATGAAAAACAAATTACCCAATGCCGCGATCAATTACAAGAAAAAGAGAGGGAGACTAATCGATCAGAAATAGCTAACATCATCCATCGAACTTTGCAACAAGATATAGTCAATCAACCAGTCATTCACTCCCATTTCACATCGTCTTCAGGTGACTTGTATATTTTAACTCTATTCTAGCCCATTTTTGATCCATTTTGCCTCATTCTGATCGGTTTATTTTGGTCATTAGCAATAGAAAATGGACAAGAAAGTCAAAGTAGAAAACAAAATAATAGCAGCAAACAACGTTATGGTAAGTCTAAACACAGTATTGAATCAGGTCACTAAATACTGAAGGATAATCCTGTATGCTGACTTATTGACCCAAATTCGTGAATGCATCTAAATTAAAAAGAACAATTCAATTCATTTCAAGAATTTTATTCATAATGTTCATATAAGGTAAAGGATAGTAGCTTAAGCTAATGCTATATGGTGCAGCTTAAGGGCAAGTTGGTGATATAATTGAACAGCGACAGCTTTAGGTTACTATCTTTGTTTTACGATAAAAATGTTGAAAAAAATTTGTCAAAATAGGACATCATTTTAAATCCGTTCAACCGTACGATTATTAGATCGATAATATATCACTCAATACTACAAATCTGCGTCTTTGCAGAACATCATTGACAAAAAAATAAATTATTTCGAATGGCTTTTATTGTTTGCGTTGTAACGCCTCTTTTTCAAATAAAATGCAGCATTAGCATTAACGTAGCGCTATTTGATTAAAACTCTCCTACCAACAGGATGGCTACATGATTTTAAATTATTGTACTAATTTAGAAAAGAAAACTTACCGTAACAACTATACTATTATTTTTAACCTGTCAATTTACGTTTTAAAATGATTGAATCGACAAAGCCGAGCAAATTACGCTTTAAAAGAATATAGCGGAATAAATAATATAAAACTGCCATTATACTATCTAGTAGATCTTAGTCTAAATGACTATGAATCTGAATCTGAAGATAAATCGACTAACAAAGATATCAATAAAGGAAAAGGGGCAATTGAAAATTTTAATGGTTGGTAATAAGTAGAAAAATTGATTGAGTGATTTAAGTAAAACAAGATGATACAGTGTGTCTATAATTATTTTGCAGAAGCACCTGATAACATTCATTTTGACAAACGTAAAGGGCCGATTGAATCAAATTCGTTACATGATTGCACTTCTCGTAAAAAGAAAAGAATAGCAAATGCATGCGGTGAGTGGAAGATATAGGCAGTATAAGGGGTGTTGCTGCTATGCATCCAGTTTTTGTTAACTAAATACGAGGACCAAATATGCAATATTTAATGCAAATGCTGCTGAACTGCATATATACAAAAATATATATCATGAAGTAGCGCTCTATAAAAATGTCTTACTACCAATGTTATACCCCCTATATACAAGTACATACAGTATAATCATTGTTGGATTTTGTTAAACATCAGCAAAGATACACTCACGAATAATATCTAGTTCTTAATTCTCATTATACACTCACTACCTTTAATAAAAGGATATGATCTCGTAAATAGCATTGGAAAGCAGGAGTACTTTAATGTTTGCATGGTTTACAATATTACTTATGAAGTTAGCCAACCAACCCATATGTATTTTATTTTATTGTGCTTTTGTATCCGACCACTTCCTCATACTCAACGCATAGACAGCTCAATTTGGTTTTATGCTATATTTCGCAGTCTATAAATGTAGCAACGTCCTTGTATGGACAAGCCATCATTTAAAATCACGACGGGCCTCATGAAAGAGTAGGAGTGCACCTATATCAGGAATGCCTTGTTTCTTTATTTTCATTTCAATTTATTTGCAATATTAATGTTATATTATAGATGCCAAGGAACACTTTTTCGAAGTTGCAGATAAAATTGGTACTGATTGGACAAGATTAGCTACAATTTTAGATCCATCCATTGATGTTGATGTTATCAGAAGTCAAGAGCATCAAATTTTCGATCGAGCAAAGAAAGTTCTCGATAAGTGGTATCGAAAAACTTGTATAAATAAGACCAATACCTATGATCAACTGACGGCAGCTTTGCAACGGATAGATCGGAATGATATTATTTCGGTTATTAGCTCTACTTTAAGATAAAAAGGATTTTATTTTATGATATATTCTACATTATAATTATTATTTTTAAATAAGAAGTATTTAGAGATTGAAAAATTAATTGCGATCTGTTCATTCTATTCTAGCGAAACTGTAATCGTTGATATAAAGGGTATTTCGTATTGTATATTATTAAACAATTACTTGGAATCGATTTATCTGCGCTTATTTATATATGTTATATACTGTACATGAAATAAAAAAATCGAAGAAATTTGCATATTTAAGGCCACTACGCTGTAATTTTTCACTCTAACATGACTAAATGTTATTTATCAATATTTTCAGCGGTATAATATGATTTTATAAGCCGCTGATAAATATCCTTCACTCGTACTATGCACCAGTGTACACTTCCACAGTCCATATTGATCGCTTAATAGAGGCCTGCCTAATCGTTGATGCAGCCATGACTATCTTGAAGTAATGACAAATAATTAACCTTACAAAAGCAAGTTAGAAATGTGTAGTCTAGAAATGAATATACTTTGACAAATTACCACAAATTTTCAGTTGCTAAAGTAGAGTGCATCCAATTTATTTAATGAAATATCTATCCTGTATTATCATGAGTAGACTAGTATCCTCCAAAGGATATTGATCACTATAGGTGCATTTATAATTACTTTAATCACCTTTAAAAGAAGCAAAAAAAGGACTATAACACTATGAATACAATATTACTACAACATCAAATGTTAATTTATTTTGCCATCATTATCTTTATTTGTAATTTACGCTTATACAGTATGTCTACTTGCAGGGATATTGTATTTTTGCACGATAATTTTATAATCTTTTGATAGGATGTCCCTTGAATTTTCAATTGAACAGTCTGTGTTTCAGTCTCTTTCAGAAATATTGTCATCGTAGAGCCTGGGATCTAATCGTAATAATAAGATTGTACGTATATCACGCTGCCAATCAATAGGATAAACAACCGTAAGGACGAAGAGAAATGGTCAACAGTTACCAGATTTAAACAAATAGCGTCTCTTCAGTATCTATACAGCATGAACAAACTGCATACTTAGCACCGAGAGATTTGAGATTGATTATTAAATACTATACGAGTTCGCAAAGGAGAGCAATCACTGTTTTAATACAGTGCGTAAACATTTCTCTCTTGACCAAACACTTAAAATCGCTCCACTGGTGCTAGTAAAGTTAGTATCAGGTGTCGCTGATACATTACCATTATATTAGCAAACTCGGAGATGCCAGAAATTTCGCACCTGTAAATCATACCATTCAGTATGGATATAGTGGTATTTCATTTGGAATTGGCTTTTGATTCGTTCTTTTATTAACAGTTTAAATTTGTCAACGATGAATCGAACAGTGCGCTTCTCCCGCGGTGAGACAATCATAAAACTAACTAACGATTCCCAGATCCTATCCTTACCTACTCCAAGTAATCCTCGCCTACATGACCATTAATCATGCCATCCAGTATGGATATAGTAGCCATTTATTTGAAACGAGCTTTCTACTCAATCTTTGATATATAACTATAATTTCGATTTTTTAACAACGAATCGAACAGTACGCCTTCCTCGAGGTAAAACAATCGTAAAACTATTCAACGATTTCCTGATCCGGTCCTTACCTACTGGATCATTAATCATGTCATCCGGTTGGGCATAGCGGTAGATCATTTGGAACGGGCTTTCGACTCGTTCTTTTATTATTAGAAATAGCTGCAATTTGCTGACGATGAATCGAACAGTATACGTTTCTCTAGACCAAACCTAGTCTAAACCAATCGCAAAACTAACTAACGGTTCCTCGGTTCTCGGCCATTAATCATGTCATCTAGTACGGATATAGTATCAGTTTATTTGAAACGAGCTGTCGACTCGCTCTTTAATTAATAATTTAGATTTGTCAACGATGAGTCAAATAGTACGCTTTTCTCGAGGTAAGGCAATAATAAAGCTAACTAACGATTCCCTGGCCCTGTCCTTACCTACTGAATCATTAATCATATCATCGAGTACGGATATAGCAGTTGTTCATTTGAAACAGTCTTTCGACTCGTTCTTTTAATAACAGCTTCAATTTATCAACGGCGACTCGAGCAGTGAACCTTTCTCAAGGTGAAGCAATCGTAAAACTAACTAATATTTTCCTGGTCCTGTCCTATCCTACTTGTCCATGAAGATCAGTGACTTAACCACTACTTTAATTTATCACAATGCGACTCTCCATGATTCAGGTACAATTGTATGTTTAGCCACGACCAGTTTACTTAACGGTGCTTCTACAACTCAATCATCGTCGGCTTTATTAACAGTTTATGATATACAAGATTCTCCAATAAATTTTACATTCATCAAATTAATGCCATTTTTTCTATCTATTTTCATGGTTTCCTAGTCAAGTTCAAGTTTTACATACATGATTTATTTCCGCCGATGTAAGTTTCATACTGGACTTACGATAAATCCATCCCTTTAACGCGTACTTTTGTCAATGTTAGCGAAGCCACTATCCCTGGCTTGAAGAGTTATATTACTTACCGATTTCGGATTAATGCGATTACGGAAGGAGATGGCCCTTTCTCATCGACTATGTACTAAAGCATTTGCCCTTAAATTGAAGTTCTGATGCAGTTAAATATGATAATTCGTGTAAACTTTCTTATTTTCGGTTGAAGATAACGATTTGAAAGTAGAAGGCGTTCGAAATAAATTTCCTCTTATGATATGAAAATTGTCTTTTTTAAGGTATCGAAGAACTCATTAAGTATTTCCAATATATTATACAATAATAAAATTACTTATTACATTAATTGATCGAACAAATGACCAAGAACTATTTACCTTTAGTTGAAAACTGTCTATAGTACAATCCACCATTGTCAGTACATTAAGATACTTGCACATAATCATACAACCAAAGTACCCTTTGAACCATTCCCGTAGAATCTTATTACTTGATCTTAAGCTAAATTTGCGTACTATGCGACACTATTCAAATCATTCTGAATTCATACCATAGAAATCTAGTATAGAACAAAAGTATGATCAATTTCATTTAACTATGATTTGATTTTTCTTAATTCAAAATCCAACCTATCTTAAACATTTATAGGCACACTCTAACACCTCTATGAGCTCGAGCAATAAATACAATTGAGAAATAAATACTATTAAGGTGGGTAATGTCTTAATCTCCATAATTATAGCGAATTAGCCCTAATCGACGATGCAGTTATAACAGAATTACAGTAATTGGATAACAAATTTTAAGCTATCAAGAGGGCAAAAATCTCAAGATTGATAGATATCCTATGCGAAAAAGACAGACTTATCTGTACTTTTACTTAATATTGATTTAAGTGCGATTTTAATACGATTAGTTATTTTGGAAGATAGTTTCGCAGACATAACTCTAAGAAATTATTACATTGAATACTTCTGTACTGTAATAGCAAAGGTGAATAAAGAAATAGATGATAAAAACAAAGATCCCTGCAGTTTACTTTAATCGTAAATAAAGAACTAATTGTTACATTTACTGAAATTTCAAAATGGCTTCAACGGATTTATACCCCTAGGCTAGCAATGGCACTATTCAATTCTAAAAATCAAACGGCTGAAATTTACTGCAATATGAATTCAATTTTCGGTTTGTATTGGATAAAGGAGCAACTTTTACATATGCATATAGCATTGCTGTACCTGTACATACGCGGAAACTAGAAGTAATAACAACTTTATTGAATCGTAAAACAATAGTGATTATTTTAATTAAGAAAGTAGTAGATTGTAGAAAGAAGGTACCATTCACGTGGAAGAAAACAGCATTTTATAATTTACATAAATCTTAGGCATGTTGCACTGAAATTTTAAATTTATACGTATTTATTAATTGGGTCAACACGATCAATGCGAATTCGGTTAGTTAAGGCATTGAAGAAGGACGGTTGTTGAATGCATCTTCAAGATTGGTTTTATGCTACCTTAACAGGTGGTTACTAACAATTGCTTTCGCTGTAGTTCTGGTAGGCAACAATAATCGCCTTCAATTGTTAAATTGAGAACTGTCTTAGACTAAACTATAGGAAGTTTAAAGAGTAAATGATTTTGTATCTTTAAAATCAGCTCTTATAGGTATTAGCTCGAGTTCCATCAATCTAATCCTTAATTGCCATTAGTAACTGAAAACCGCCAATAACTGATCTTGATCCACTACTTTCTGTCAGCCTGGGATCGATACGGCCTACAAAAAATCGATCATCGATCATTTTTAGAACTGACAAGATATTCTTATGCTCGCGTTAATCTAATTACATAAAAGAATATCATCATCATCTAGCTTTTCTATATCTGCTTGTGTCTTCTAATAAATAATATTGGCACCATTTTTAAAACTACAGTTTTTACTTCGAAATGAATTAAGGAAAAATGTAAAGAATCCAAGTTTCTTCATTATCGCGTAATCTTCTAGGTTGATTGAGTGCCAATATTGCTGGAAAGCGTGGCATACCTTCTGCGGTTACCTTCTCTGTATACGCGTATTTTCCTTTACAGAAGAGAAAATCAAATGATGAAGCGATCTCTGCTTGCCTTCGTTCTGGCTACTAGTACCCTTGCTCTTGCATTGCACTCTCCTACTATAACTATACAACCAATTGATTTTATGAACGAGCACGCAATTTATTCCACCGGTAGTGGCAAAGTAGTTATCCCTTGTCAAACTACTGGAAGTGGCAATATTACCTACGCCTGGCGACATAACGGTAATCCTATTCAATTAGATGACCGTATTAAAATTCTTGATGGAAATTTAAGCGTGGCGAATATTACTGCAAGTGATGATGGTAAATACATCTGTTTGGCTAGCAACCTCTACGGCACAAGTATCAGTCGTGAAGTTACTCTTCAGGTTAGCGTTGTACATTCTCTTCGCAATATTTCTGAAAATATCATCCAATCTAGTTATGGCAGTGCTCGTTTAAGGTGCCAAATTTCCAATCAAACTACGCGTATGCCCAAACCGAGTCAAATTTATTGGACTGCAAGTGATGACAGTAGAGTACCAGAAACAACTTCTATCGCCATAAATGAATACGATGGCGATCTAATCTTTATTGCAGGTTGGCAAAACAACACTGGATCGTATAAATGTAATGTAATTTTCAAATTATTCGATCCAACTACGGGATCTTCAACAAAAATTAAACTTACTGGTGCTGCTCAACATGTTTATTTCAAAATCCCCACGTCTGCTACGCCTAGTTTTGCCCCTAAAATTGAAGAAGGACCGACTGATATTATAGCCATACTTGGCCAGGTTCGAGTTATATTAGAATGTATATCGACAGGTTATCCTATTCCAACAATTCTGTGGCAAAAGAAATTGGGTCCTTTACCTAATAACCGCTACTCGATTGAAAAATTCGGTCGACATCTTGTACTCAAATACATCCAAGAAGCCGATGCAGGAGAATATCAATGTATAGCATTTTCGGGCTTCAAACAAGTTAGTGCTAGCGCTAAACTTAGGGTTGCAATCGATTCTCGATGGAAAGCTTCCATTACAAATACAAATCAACCGATTGGATCGGATTTTATTTGGCCTTGCTCAGTGAGTGGATTCGACATTAAGTATAAATGGTACCGTAACGGTCAACGTATTAGTGGTAGTCCGCAATATAACCTTCATGCCAACGGATCCTTAACGATACGCCACCTTTCTCCTTCAGATGCTGCAGTTTACTCTTGCCAAGGCTACAATAACCATTCCAATATTGTTTCATCGGGCTATCTTAACGTCATAGTAGCAGCACCTACTTTTATTAAGAGTCCATACACGCAAGCAACCTTTTTTCGAGGACAAAATGCCACTCTTCGTTGTACAGTGACTGGTGGTCCTCGCCCGACTGTAGAGTACACTAAAAATGGAAGAACCATAGATAGACAATTACATAATAAGTATACGGCCCAACTAAATGGCAATTTAATCATCCATCATGTGCAAGATAGCGATGCTGGAGTATACAAGTGCATCGCCAGCAATCGTTATGGAACTGCTGAAGTATCGGGTAGTGCTGTGATCAAGATTGCAACAACATTTACAAAATCTCTCACCAAGACTTTTGTACGTCGGCCACAAGGATTTATTTTATCATGCCAAATTCAAAAGGATCCCAGCCTGAATGTAGTATTTTATTGGCAAAAAGAAGGTAAAAACATTACAACACAGAAAGCTGTATTAAATGTTCACGGTTTAACCACAACATTAACTTATTCCAGCAGTTCGCTGGGTGATTCGGGACGATTTTCATGTTTCGTTGCTACTCACGTGCCTTTCGCTGGCTATGAAACGCAATCATCATCAGCTATGTTAACGGTTCATGATATACCAGATAGTCCAAGCGATTTTAGATATAACCAGGTGAATGCATCATCGGCAGTGTTATCATGGCTGCCTGGTAATTCTAATAACAGTCCATTATTAAGATATGGCTTAACCTATCGAGTCAATTCGAATCGCTTGAGCAATGATCCATGGAGAGTAGCAATAAATGATGTACCACCTTGGGCTACATTTCATCGAGTAAATCTATCGCCATATAATTATTATCATTTTAAACTAATTGCTATCAATGGCGTAGGTTCTAGCAAAATTACACCTAGTCTCACATTTCATACTGATGTGGATATTCCTTATCATTCCCCAGGCGAATTTCGAGCTAGCAGTGGAACAGCAGATGGAGCTATTATCGAAATTCGCTATAAGCCATTATCACGAGACGAAATGAACGGTCCACATATTTATAACCTACTTGAATTTAAGCCACAAGCAATTTCATCATCATGGTCTTTTATTAATATTGGCAATAATGGCTCTTATCGTCTAACGGGTGTATTGGAGAATACTGTTTACAAGCTGCGATTGCGGCCATTTAATGATATTGGATTGGGGAAAGAATGGACGCACACTGTTACTGTTAAGACAGGTGTTGCAGCACCTACCTTAATACCTGAACACTTTCAGGTCTATGTTATTGGTAACGATAGCGTAAAGTTAGTTTGGTCAACGGATGCCTTAGGAAACTCGATGGGCACGAAAATTATAGGATATCGAGTAAGCGATATAATATTCTCTCTTATTCATAGAAATGGTAAATCTTGACTATCATTTGTAAATCATGATTTCGTTTCTAATTGCAAATTTTGTATCTAAGGCTATGATACATGCTTAGCACCTTGCAAAAATGTTGTCATCTTTAGTCACATTCAAGAATTATAGATATTTCACCTATAACATATACAAGTATAGATGCCGTAAATAGGATTGCTAATAAAATTGATATTAATATCTACCCAATTACTATAATTTCTATAGATCTGCACATTCGAGATCATTGAATACGTTCACATCACAGTCTTAAATAGCAATTCTGATGAACTAGCAATAGTAATTAAGTAATAACCGTAATATCATACTTGCTTTGTCCGTAGCAAAAATATTATTGCCTTTGCATATTCAAGGTTACCGCATTTAATGATTTATACTACCTGTACCCTTTGCGAAGATGTTATTAAGTGGTAGCGCATTCAAGACTATTTAATAGATGTATATCAAGGTCTTTAATGACGATATCGATTAAGTTTATAGTTGTCACTGACTAATTAGTTGATAGTCATTTTTATTCTACTACCGAATCCTTTTAGATCTCATATTGGACGTATGATCAATCCATTGCCAAGACCCAAACTTTAGGCGATGTCAACGTAGCAACTATGAATCATTTAAAGCATAACTTTAGCTATCATTTTCGAATAAATGCATTTAACTGTGGTGGTGATGGCTTGCTTTCGCAAACAGTTAGCCAATACATTAGTCGGTCAGTCCCAGGTAAAATAATATTAATACAGTTAAAAGAAGTTATAATTAATAATCCATCATCTGATGAAATAGGGCAATTTAATAGGTGGAATGGATATTCTCTAAAATAAAATTAATATAAGTAGCTTCATGATATCTGTTGTAAAAGGATACAATTAAAGTTCAGCAGTAGAATCAGAGATTAGGTTGCATTTCCTTATTCCATACAGAGATATAAAAAGAATTAAAATTATGATTTGAGAGAGTGAGATAAATAATAATCTATGATATCTGTTGGAACCGACTAACACTGCAAGTTAGAATGATATTCTCTAGAAATTGCGTGAATAACAAGAGCTATTAAATTGAATAGTATAATAAGTTACTCAATTATGCTAATTAAATATATTCTATCAAATAGATATCGTGACTAATTACTGCATTAAAAGCTACAACTTTATTCCTAAATATTGAAGAGCATCATCCTGTTTTTACAGATTCAATATCCAACTTTACATCTTCCCAGATGTTATCACATCAGCTAATTCTGCAGTGGCTGGCACCCGCTATTACTAATGGCATCATTCAATCTTATCAAATTAATTATAAATTAATTGGTAACCAAAGCAACTCAAGAAAAACTATCGCCAAGAATACTACAGGAAACGAGACCTCAGCCATTTTAAATAACATGAAATTAGGCATTTACCAATTTACTATTGCTGCACGCAATATCCATGGTTACGGTGTTCCAGTAACTATTCGGCATAAAGTTGCTAATATCTTAGCACCGATCAGGCTAGCAGCGACTGCTATTGAACGAACTTTTATTCATTTATCTTGGACTGTTGGAGACATTATCGGTCAAGTATTGTTGTTCAATATAAACTCTCCTCTTATTTGTTTAAAAATGTGAGCGGAATGTTAGGGCCAGAAGTGCGCTATTATACAGTAACTGGCTTAGCACCATCAACAACATATACATTTCGTATTTTCGCTTTAAGTGCAAGTCATTTAGATTTATACAGTAACGAAATTAATGTTATAACAAAGCCTTCAGAAAGCATGGGACCGATACTTCATCACCAAACTTGGTTCATAGCTTTATTAATTTCATTTGGCGGATTAATAGTTATATCAGTGATTTACTTTGCTTATATTCGTGTCGTTCAGATAAACCAAAATCGAAAAGAGCGCCACCTAATCTGATATATAGTAGGATATTCTTGCAATAAGGAATTGAGCACTACGAAAAACTTTTTCACATCAATGAAATAGGAAGAAACCCAATGCCTTGACGATAAATTTTAATCGCAGTCGATGATATGACTACAACTAGACAACTTAGGAATAACTCAAAGCCATTTAATCCACTTTTAGACCCAAAATTGACTTTTTTTATGTTACTGAAAATTTAACTGTACGAAAAAGTCCAGAATCCTTATTAAAGGATTGTGAATGTATAAAAATTCAATAGTCTTGTTTCAATAAATGATCAGATTACAGAAATGCGTAATTGTTTATTATTACCTTGCTTTGATCTATTGCAACTAACAAATGTGACTCTGAGATTATGTATTAGACCTATACATTTAATTTTGAAAGTGAACTGATTGACTGGATTTCTATATATAGAATAGAGAGATTAGCTGTGTACTATTGTTAATTCTAGAGAGCGAAGAGTTCTAAACTAGGATACAAAATTTGCTTTAGTAAATGCTTAGATTACTGAATAGACTGAAGCTATATGCAAAATATGATGAGTTTACGGGTTTTTGATTTAGAGATTAGACTAGTTGAATAAGTTAATCCTATAGTCTTTTATCAGTCCAGAAGCATAATTTATTTTATATTTTAATGCCCGGCTACCTGTAGAGTTCAACGATTAATCTAAGGCAAGTCTATCAGAATGCTCGTAGATCGAACTTATCTCGTATGCAATACATAAATGCTACGGAACGTATAGGATAAGTCCTACTATTGTATGATGAATTGTGTTTAGGCATAAATATTAGGCCAGCCATTTAATAGTTTCATGTTATAGTGCAGAAGAGTGTAGAATAGAAGTGATGATCAGCTGACAATAGAATTAATTTGTTGGTATACTATAATTAAATCTACAGTACATTTCCATCTTGTCGTATTACATGTTATTCAGAACTGAGTTTCTTGCAAAGTATGAATAATCGAGTAACTTTCAAGTTTTTCCTCGGTATTAATTTTCTCAACTCATACTACGTGATTAAATATGCCTACATATCTGGCACAGGAAAAGATGAAAGCTGACATCATTAAAACCTGCAACAACTAGATTTACCCATATAAGGTAATGGTACAAATTACTTTACGCGTAAGCTATCGAAGTGATGACTGGCCTTTCTACTTATATAGCACTAGCGATATATAGCAGTATGAAAGTAAGATGATCTAAAGCAAGCATAGAGGGATAAATGTAAGCGCCCTCCCATGCGATCATGGTCATCAGGGTCATTGGAAAGGATAAGAGTGTTCTATACATTTCAAAAGTAAAGGTAACTGAGCAATCTAAATAATATAATAGTATCATAACACAACATAGGGTACAACTAAAATAGAGAAATAAACTTTATTAAAATTAATAGACCTTCAATAAGAATGGATTCTTTGATACACCGAATATTAGATATGATTCATCAACCGTCGGTGATTTTTATTGGATAACATTGTTCAACACTTTATCATGAACAATACTCTTTATCAATCAGCAATAAATTAAAAAAATTACACATAAAATATTCATTAGTTGATTGAGCAATGCAACCATGGTCTACCAGGTACTATTGTACCAGAGACTACTAAAGAATTCATGACAACTTGACCCATTGCCCGTTTGTTAATAATAATAAGTAAACTCTTCAACAAAAGAAATATAACCAATCTAGAATTAAATTGAATTCTCTTGATCACGGACACTATATGCTTTGTCTCCATTTCTGAGAAAGAGTAAGTTTGATACAGTTCTAAATCAATATTATTTATCGCCACGTTTAGTCATAACATTAATGCACCATTCCTAGGTAGAATTATAATTGAAAAAAACTCTTTATCGTCGCAATGATATTGATGATGCAATTTTCTACACACAGTTGCTATAAGCAATGCAGAGAGTTTGAGCACTCTATCGTCCCCCTTAGCAGATATTGGTTATTGCGTCCTCGATGATTGGATCAATCTTAGGATCAATCTTTAAATCAAACGGAACATATAGAATTACGACTGTCGTCCATACTGTTCGCTAGTTAATCTAATCATCAAACTTTGTTTTATCTTACTCGGATCTAAGATCAGCATCGAATTGATGGCCACGATGATAGTGACTTCTCTTATTATTAACTCTCACTATCCATTTTTATCGTATTGATCAGGTAGATATAGGCGGAACCATCACTCCAACTGTCTTTTGAGTATCCGCCTTCAACTTATTGACTGAATGAGAACAGGCGGAGCCATCATCATTTTCTTGACGTATTATTAAATCATAATTACTCTCTCATCACGTATCAATTCCAGATTATCATCATAAAAAAGCAACTTGATTGCTGCAACTCTTTTATATTGCAATCAATGTTGAACGAGAGTAATGTTGACTCTTTAAAGGTCATGCATGTTAGTCTTGGCTTTAATCGTCATTGCTACTCGATCTTAGTGAGATAGGTGTTACTTCATCTAATGTTTTCATCACTATTTAAAGGCTGTATTTATGACTACTAGTATTGAAAACTGTTGTAGTTATTCAATTACAGCAGCGAATGATTCGATAATGCTGGTTAACTCAATCGCGGAAAGCTATCCTAAAGCTAGTCATGAGTGGCCTCAATCATCGTGATAGAACTCTAACAGTAAAACTTAGGGCTAGATAGTACAAATTAATTAATAATAAATTAGCGATGAAATCGCAGCAATCTTGTCATTCATTATTGTACAGTCTAATCCAAGGAGTCGTTACTATCTATCAATTGTTATAGTGACAATAAAAAGTTCTTATCGATGGAGGTCTAATTCTGGCAGCTTTTAGTCATTATCTGGTCAATTCTGAATGTAATGTGCAAATCGTTAAGCTATTATCATAGTAAATCAGATTATCTGTGGGAAATTACTTCCAAATCGGTCAGTAATCGCCTACAGAATGGATTAGATATAGTAGCATATTCTCTATGAAAGAGACGCTTTTCCGGCTATAAATCTCGACGATTCTTCTATTTAGCATCGCTGTATTGATTACTCGTATATCTGCTCATTGAGTTTGAAAACTGCCAATCAATCTGCAGATACGCTACGCTATCAAACATTTCGAGTTTAGCTATCGCGGATCCATTTTGATACCATCGATGGAGCTTAATTTATCAATTCATCCGAATGTATTCATTATCTAAATTCAATATCTAATGCTGTCATTTAGTGGCATTAATTACCCCATAAAGATATTTTATTGAAATGAATATCCCGGAATTTCGTCGGATGTTTTGACCATTAATTTCAATTTACTGTTAATTTGTTCTTCCTGATTAATCTAATTATAACAGCGATTTAGAGTAATCCATTAAGGACAATGAACCTTTATGTTCTAATCGGATTGCACAAGTAGGAAGCTAATGGATAGAATTGTGGGGACATGTAAGCGCCCATCATTCATTCATTGTCAAGCAAAAGTCTTGCTAGTTCTATTGGCAATGATCCCGATTGGTAATGAAGATCCATGGAATCGTACGACTAAAATTTTTTAGGAGAAGAACAATAATGTCAAGCGAAATTAATGTTGATAATACAGTATACATATAATTAGTCGGAAGATGAGAATTTAGAAAATGCCTGCACTAGTATCGCCCTGACTGTCATTTCTTGAGTTGTTGCTAATTTACCATAAATTAAAAAGGATTCTTGTTAATTATAAAACAAGTTAAAATACGATAGGTATCATAAGACGATAGCCATATTTCCTTATATCTCTATTAGCAAATAAAACTTTATTACTACAGTCTAATATTTGGATCAAAAAGTCTTACTTCCAATCTGATGAATGACTACCGTAGTAATCAAAATTGATCATGTAGCTGCATACAATAGTAAGGAGATAGATACAGCAATCGGGCCATTATAGCTATTATAAATATTAAAATAATGAAAAAAAATGTTATGAAAACAATAAGAAGCAGTAATATATCGCTGATGCAGATAATAATGATGGAGCTCAATTACATTATAGTAAAATTACGACTAACAATTTTTAAATTACATTTAATCCTTCCAAGTATTTATTTTATACGAAGGTAACTATCCAACTTGGAGAATGAATGAGCGTTTGTTACATATATCTTTTAAAATTCGTCTTTCATTAGTATTTTCTTTTCTATTCCTAATTTGATATAGAAAAATAGGTAAACACTTCCAGTATTCACTAGGGCAGAGTTAACTGCTTTGAGCATAGCCGAAAAATTTATGTTATAATAATACACCCAAGAAAGTATATTGTATTCTTAGCTGGGTGAACTTTATTTCTTTTGACTAACAAATGTGGCCATGGAGTTAAAAGAATACTTCAAATCATTAATCAACTCCAACTTTATTGAAATATTAGCAGGAGGACCAAGATGCATGACTAGCCAATCAATTGAAGATGATCCCTTTCTTTTATTTACCGTCATTAGCACCAACAATATCAACATTAAGTGATGGTAACAAAGAATCCACTTTTACGTATACAAGAGCTATTATGATTTTTTTTTGCTTTAGCAATGACTCAAAAAATGGGTGGAGAGAGATCGAACGCAATAAAAAGAATGACAGTTGAAAATGCCTTAATATAAGAGGGTTAGTAGTGAAAGCTAACGAGTAGTGCAGTGAGCTAGTTCTGTTAGTCAGTTTCTAATGAATTTAAGTACCTTCCTTTAATTACGAAGATCTTCTGATATTTTTCAAGGTTGCATGGTTAAGGAAGAGTTATCATAACATCATGTAACGGAATCGAATCATATAGCAAATAGCATATACTTCCGGGGTAATCTTGATATCTTGGCACTTTGTAGTGTAATAAATGATAAATAAAACTCTCTTTAGCATGGTTTAAAGACGAGTCATCGCTTCTCAGTACTACAGTACTTTGCATAACTGATAGAAGGTGTGAAAAATTTGACGTCAAATGGAGTAGCATTGACGGGTTAAGAATTAGGAGCTGTGCATCATTTGAGTCATTACTCTCGTCATTCTTTTGACCCAACTAATTACTCCATTTGTTTTTTTAAGTATTCTGTGTCACCTGCCGCATACCATACTTATGAATAATAGACTTTTAGATTTCATCAGAATAAACGAAATTGAAGTGAAGGCGGTCAATCAACAATTGAACAATTTTGTTGTTGTCAAATAAATAATTAATTATAATTCATTAATATCCATCAATCAAATTTCAATGGAGATGCGTTATTAGCAACCATACAAAACGATTAGTATGCAGTGAAGAGCCTATCCCTATTAATATACCCTGCAGTTATTTTCTTATCTAGAAAAAAAGCCTATTCTTCTCAACCTCTACACAAGTAACCTTTCTCATGGTCCATTTTCACTAATCCAAGAAAATATCATTTCAGCAAAAGCAACTTCAAAAAAAGAGTCTTAACGACATTCATCAGCTTTGGTGTTTCATCTTTGGATAGTCCAATCGTTATAACAAGCTATCCAAAAAAAGGAGAATTTTAATTGAAGCTAACGATTACCATCAAGAACGGGAAAAATAGACACAATTGATCAAAATTGCAATTGTCCTAAATTACAGATTACGGCCATTTTTTTCTTTTTGCGGACAAACAATTAATACTGTGGCTTTACCGCCCTGTCGAAATCGATCCATCTTGCTACATTGTCATCTTGAAAACTGTAACAATATGTCCGCACATTGACAACTTTCTCACTTAATATCTAAAGTTTAATAAGAGAAATTTCAACTGTGTATCTTATCCGATATTCTTTTTATAACTGGATCCTGACCCGACACCCCCTCATTTTTTTTCTCGCTGCTTGAAAAATTTTTATTCTATTTTTTCCGATCCAATCTCTAATTTTACCTAAATAGAAATGAATCGATCTTTCATCTTTCTCATGTTAACTAGCATTATCGCTACAGCCTTGGGACTAAAAGCTCCTGAAATTACTGTTCAACCGATCGATTATGTTGATGCACTCGCAATATCACGCACACATGATGAAGGAGTAATTGTACCTTGTGCCGCTACTGGTGATGGAACAATTACCTATGCATGGAGACATAATGATCAAAATCTCCAATTCGACAACCGTATTAAATTATCTGGTGGTAATTTAACATTTTCCGGAATTGTGTTAGCGGATGCGGGCCAGTATGTCTGCTTAGCTACCAATGCCTTTGGTACCAGTATCAGCCGTGAAGCCACTTTACAAATTCGATTTTTACCTTTTATGCCTGGTGTTTCTGAAAAATTTTATCGCAAAATTAACCAAAATGCTAGATTGCATTGTCAAATCCCATCTGAAACATCACCAAGACCCGATCTAATTTATTGGACTATGGCTGATAATTCTGTTATTGCTCAAAGTGAACGTGTTGCACTAAGTATATATGCAGGAGATTTAATATTTATATCAGGTTGGAAGAATAATACTGGGACTTATCGTTGCAATACCATATTTAATGTATTCGATCCTAAGAGTAGCTCGTCATCAGAAACTCGAAACACGGGTGGTGAACAATACTTGAATTTTACTATTAATGCTGTTCCAGCGGTTGCTCCTTCAATCATAGTCCCACCGAATGATACTATAGCTAATCTTAACCAAAAACGAGTTATATTAGAATGCATTGCAGTCGGTTATCCTATACCAACAATCATATGGCAAAAAAGTACAGGCACACTCCCTATTAATCGTTATTCATTTGAACAATATGGTCGCCATCTCGTCCTAAAAGACATTGCAGAAGTCGATGATGGTGTCTATCAGTGCACAGCCATTTCTGGTGGTAGTCAAGTAACAGCAAGTGCTCGACTTAAGGTTCATGTTGATCCTAAATGGATAACCGCTATAAGTGATACGGATCAACCTGTCGAATCAGATTTTAATTGGCCTTGCGTCGCTAGTGGATCTACCGTTGGTTATAGGTGGTATATGAATGGTCAACGCATTGTCCAAAGTACCAAATACATTCTCAATGCGAATGGCTCATTGACCATACGTAGTCTTGTTAGAGGAGATACCAAAGTCTATTCTTGTCTAGCTTATAATGAGCATTCCAATATAGTATCATCGGGCTGGCTGAATGTTACCGTAGCAGCGCCCAAATTTGTTGAAGTCCCATATACACAAACGACATTATTTCGAGGACAAAGTTCTACCATCCGTTGTACTGTTACCGGAGGTCCGAGGCCTGACATGACTTATACTAAAGACGGAGGATTTGTTGATAAATTATTGTACAACAAATATACCGTTAAACCGAATGGAAATTTAGTGATACACAATGTAGTAGATAGTGATGCTGGAGAATATAAGTGTACAGCTACCAATCGGTATGGAACAACCGACGCTACTGGTACAGCCGTTGTGCTTAGTGCGACCGTCTTTACTAAGCCATTAGCTGCGACTTTTATACGCCGACCTAAAAACTTTACTATTTCTTGTACCGTTCAGAAGGCTGATAGCTTGAATGTCGTACTTTATTGGCAAAGGGAAGGCAAAAATATCACTACTAGTAGAGCTACTGTAAGAACCAACGGTTTGACTTCAACATTAAGTTATTACAATAGTACGTTAAGTGATTCGGGCCAATTTGCCTGTGTAGCGGCAACTAACGTACCTTATGTTGGCTACGTAGCTAATCCATCGTTAGCAACATTAACAGTCAATGACGTACCCAATCCACCATTTAATTTTACTTATAGCGAATTGACACGATCGTCAGTTCTATTTTCATGGCTACCTGGTAATCCTAATAATAGCCCATTGCTAAGATTTGCAATTCATTATCGCGTCAATAATGTTAATTCATGGAGAATAGCAGAAGATTACATTCCGGTTTCGGCTACATTCCGTCGAATTGCTCTTTCACCGTTTAATACCTATCGCTTTAGGATAGTCGCTGTTAATGCTGTAGGAGCAAGTCAAGATAGCACGTATCAGATCTTTTCCACACTTGGAGACGTACCTTATAACGCACCGGGCGAATTTCGGGTTAGTGGTGTAACCGGCAATTCTGGGGCCTTGGATATCCGCTTTGTACCCTTATCGCGAGAAGAACAAAATGACGCAGGTATTAATTATAGGTTATCTTTTAGACAACAAGGACCCACACAATCTTGGTCGAATGTCAATACTGGTACTACTGGTACATATCGTCTAGCAGGTTTAGCTCAAAACACTCGCTATGAGCTACGATTGCAACCGTTTAATAACGCCGGATTTGGGCGAGCAGCAACCGAGATTATCACTGCTACCACAGGTAGCACAGCACCTACGGCGGCTCCTAAAGATGTTACGGCTTATCTTACCAGTATTACTTCAGTTAAGTTAAGATGGTCTAAAATTGCAGTAGCAAAATCGGCGAGAGCAACAGCGGTCGGATACCGAGTGAGTTTTGTTAATCTCTCAATATTTTGACTGTATAATATATGTTTTATATAAAAATCAAAGAAACGTTTGATGAACCGGGTGCAAAATATGTAGCTAATGGTTAATTCTTTGGAATGTAATTGATTTATCTTGAAATTGAAAAAAACTACCGTACTACTTCGTTTAATCGTCTACTTAACCTCAGTAAATGTTAATAAGGCTATAATAAGTTAATATTTATTTATAGGGTTATAGTGTAGTTAGTAATGTGTAGGTGACAATAATAGTTTTAACAATTTTCCCATTTGTTAAGTACATTGACTAAAATAATGTATTGGTTTCGCATTTGCCTTACAGATTTCTTTTTGGACATATGATAATTCTGTCGCTACTACCCGTACTTTCGGTGATGTTGCGGAAGCTTCAATAAATGATTTAAGACGTTATATGACCTATAACTTCAGGATAAATGCATTTACTGAAGGTGGAGACGGTCCTTTCTCACCGACAGTTTCTAAATACATCCATTTACCAGTACCAGGTAATACTTAAAATAAAATACAAAATTGTATCCAAGTTACTTTTTTATACAATCTATCATTCTACTTGATGGTGACATATTCAGTGGTATACCGGCTTATTCAGTCAAGAGTAGATTCTTTCCTATTTGAAACTTTTCGCTATCCTAGTTTAGAAATTAGTGACTGAAATGCGATTATTATCATTAATTTTAGATGAAGTTACCAATTTAGTTGCATCGGAACCGGTCAGAAGCCAAGTGGTAGTGCAATGGATCGCACCTAGTGCCTCTAATGGTGCTATTACACATTATAAAGTGAATTATACCGTCTTAACTGTCGAGGGTCTCCCTGGTTCATATACTGCTAACACAACTGCTGGAAGCGAGACTCTATTTACCTTTTACAATATGAAGACTGGTGTTTATCGATTCACGGTGACACCACAAAATGCTAACGGGTATGGAGTTCCAACAACAGTTCAGTTCCAGGTTAATGGGATTGGTCCAGAGCAACCACAAAATTTAAAAGCAACGGAAGTGACACAAACTACTGTTAGCTTTCAATGGGAAGCCACTGAGAATCCAACCGAAGGATTTGTCGTTCAACACAAGCTGTTAGCTTCGAATGATCCTCATCAAAATACTTCCTCTTTACTTAGTCCAACAGTTCGTGCCTTTACAGCAAGTGATTTGAAAGCATCGACAACTTATGCATTCCACATTGTTGCTGTAGGTGGAAATATAATCAGTGTGCCAAGTAATCAGGTTAACGTGACGACAAGGTCAGTGGTAGCAGAGCAAAAGCCGTTTTATGAAGAAATTTGGTTTATCGCTTTAGTTAGTTCAGTAGGTGGACTGCTAGTGATCTTAATTCTGGTATGCTTTGTTCGATCTGGTCGAAAGAGGAATACAATGAAGTCTACTGGCCGCTACGTAACTCCTCATGAGCAAGAAAAGAAGCCTGATGTTCCTCCACTGCCAGCTGATGAACCTGAGGAAGAAGTCAAGAGACCACCTTTGCCTGAAGAAAGTCATTATGCAGACGATCATTTTCGACATAGCGATGTCGACATGGACAGTCTGGATAGTATGGATCAATACGCAGACTTACCTCAGTTATCCAAATTTAATGAAGATGGTTCTTTCATTGGTGAATATGGTGAATTGAAAGCTGCAAGAAGTAACGTCGATGTTAACTCGTTTATGGGTGATTATAGCGATGTACGGTATGACGGAGCAGCTTCTTATCATGGTAACAACAGCTATGCTCCTACATTACGAAGTAGCCGTCCTGGAAGTCCGGCTAGTACTATTAACCCCAATAATTCTGCATTTTCCACCTTTGTTTAAAAAGCAACCCATGATTCAGTTGTATGGGTTAGGGGGAAGATTACCTATTGAATTACAATTAAGCAAACATATTATTCACCCATACGTAATTTGAAAAAAGAAAGTAACATTGGTGGCTTGAGTTTGTAGTCATTACTTACTGTTATTGTAATAATTTCTGATTACAGTCAAATTAATGAATATCCAAAAATGTTTCAGTAGCTTACCTTGATATTGAATAAGATTTATTAGTAATACATGTATGCGCTATTTTATCATGTCCCAATGATTCATTTCAGAACTTGACCAATCTTTAGCGCTGTAATCTTGGCAGTTAGGATTGATAGACGATTGCTTGAACAAACTTAGTTTCTTGAAATTGCTAAAAAGAAATTTACAAAATACGTCATTTCAGTCTTATAATATAATTTATCATTATTGCATTCTCTAGAACTATAAGCGGTGTTTCCTGCCGTATTGACATGTTTTGGATACAGTTTAAGCCAATCAATCACTATTATCTATGTTATCGTATAACTGTAGCAATTTTATATCTTTTAATTGTAGTCCTTGTAAAATTGGTAATAGCCATTTTTTATTTTGGGTGTTTTTTCTCATGTTGTCATTTTTTTTTTCTGACTGGATATGTCTTTTTCATCTTAGAATGTGCTATCCATTCAGCTATCTATTGATATATCAAAAATTGGAAAATAACGTTTTATTATCTGTGGCTATTGCCATGCATCAACAATATGTTTAGTAATTTTCTTAATTCCAAGTTAAACTTTGAGAAGATCATACCACTATATTTGTAGTCCATCTGTAGTCATTATTGTATTTGCGTATAATATCTGCCACAAATGTTGTAGTTGATGATACCATAATGCTAACCATGGTTCTTCATACATTTCGTGAAATTTTGTCTCTTTTCAATCTGGAAAGGATGGTGTGATCAAGAGTCGACTATCTCATCGACCGAACTGTTATATCAGTTATCATCCTAATACTCATAATAATGTCTTTACGTCTCATCTGTATTTGAAATTAGAGCATTTCCAACTCGGTCGATGCTATTTTTTATTGAACTGATTGAAAAAGTGGTAACATGGAGACTGTAGTTTAAATTTTTTTTAATTGACCTAATTGTATCAGTTACCAATCAAGGTGGATAAAGTGAACCTCATTTTTATCTTACCGTCCATTACTACTGTAATTATAACCGTATGTGCGTAGATTATGAATAAAAGGTGTACTTGCTTGGCCAAAATTGGTGTAGATTCTTCTCTCGATGTGTATCCTCTATTTCAAAATTCTGCCGCGGGTGCTGTGCTGCATTTTCATCTAAGATAGTGATACAACAGTATTGCACATCGTCTGTCTATATATCATTTTAAGCAGATGATCAAGAGAAGCAAGAGTCTTGACAGGAGTTGTACCACAAGTCTGTCTGTGTACCTTTTTAAGATATTGATTGATACATACTCGTATACTATATACTGTACGCGTAAATTAGAAGATTGTTAGTGGGGAAAGATCTATATGTGAACATCGAATGAGAAGTGAGAAGTCTTGGGAAGATTATGTCGTACAGGATTTCTTTTCAACGTTTTGATGTACGAGTCATTCCGTGACAATCTTTTGCGTCAATTACTGTCTCCCTGTTCTAGTATCGACAATGACCTCGACTACTAACCCTAACTCTAACCCAACAACATCCTAATTGGGAAAATTTTCGCATGATGTAAGAGTACAATTTACAATTTCTGATTTGCACGCAGAAATTGCGTTTTCCCTCTCATGGGAAATCTTTACGCAACAATAAGGACTACTGGAAGAAGATAAATTGAGAATATCTTCTTTTGCAGTAGTAGTGATTTGCTACAACAGTCCTATACTATTATTTATGTTAACGCGCGTATCGCCACGGACTAGAGTATTTTCTCTAAAATCTGTGGTATACGCGTACGTACAAGAAGTCATAATGCGGCTTCAAAAACAGTAGGATTGCTATGGTAGTTACTGTACAATACACCGTTTTGAAAAGCGAACCAGTCAGTATTTTCTGGCGCAGATGAAGTAGTTCTCTGCACAATAATCCTAGTCTCATAGGCACTTTATTGTTCACTGTACTGTAAGTGCAGTAGTGTATTCGATGAATCATGGTAAGAAATGAAACCGGTTAATGCAATATCACTGCAGTATGTAGCCCTAGTCATATTCATGAAGCAGAAATCGATAGTAGCCGAAGCTGCTGAGCCTTAGGCCAGCTTAATAAAGGTTCAATCATTCATGGACTATTTTACTCCGTTTCTAAGTGTTTCTCGATCTTGCAAACGAGAGTTAGCGACTAGGTATCGTAGCGAGATATTCTGTGTCTACGTTGTCTAGTACTTTGGAGGTGATTCGGCGACCTGTTCACTGAATGTTGCGTCCATTCCACCTGTTGACTGTCCCTTGTACGGTATAGTTTGCACTACTTGCGATTATAATTAAAATGAATCAGGACATTCTTTTCCAATTTTAATATTGAATTGTCGATGAAATGGAAAGACGGGGACTGTAGTATCCCTGTCAGCGAAGTAAGAGGACGGTTAAGCCATCGAAAATAGTGCAAGTCCCTCATCTAATTTGACGGAATTGAAGGTCGATGTCATGACTTAGCGGTACAGTCGTTACTACAGTAACATCCACGGAGCACTGTCAAATTAATGGAAAGACAGAGAACTATAGTATTGCTGTCAGCGAAGTAAGAGGACGGTTAAGTTATCGAAAATGGTGCAAGTCCCTCATCTAATTTGACGGAATTGAAGGTTGTTGTCATGACTTAACGGTACAGTCGTTACCTACAGTAACATCCATAGAACAAGGTAAAATTAATGGAAAGACGGAGAACTATAGTATTGCTGTCAGCGAAGTAAGAGGACGGTTAAGTTATCGAAAATGGTGCAAGTCCCTCATCTAATTTGATGGAATGGAAGGTTGTTGTTATGACTTAACGGTACAGTCGTTACTACAGTAACATCCATAGAACAAGGTAAAATTAATGGAAAGACGGAGAACTATAGTATTGCTGTCAGCGAAGTAAGAGGACGGTTAAGTTATCGAAAATTGTGTAAGTCCCTCATCTAATTTGACGGAATGGAAGGTCGATGTCATGACTTAACAGTACAATTGTTCGTCGTCAATGGAACAAGGTAGAATTAATGGAACAGGGTAAAATTGATGGAAAGACGGAGAACTATAGTATTGCTGTCAGCGAAGTAAGAGGACGGTTAAGTTATCGAAAATTGTGCAAGTCCGTCATCTAATTTGACGGAATGGAAGGTCGATGTCATGGCTTAACAGTACAATTGTTCGTCGTCAAAGGAACAGGGTAAAATTGATGGAAAGACGGACAACTGGTAGTATCTGTACTACTGTCGTACAGTACCTGACTGTACATTTGCATAGTGTAACTCTGGCGCTCGCCATTTTTGCATGCAGGACAGTACAGGACAGTACAGTACAGTACTGTACCGTAAATTACTTTATACTGTACAATGTGAACCAGTTCGAATCAGAGTACTTTAAGGTATCCTAAAATCACGAGTGTGAATCAAAATGTAATAAGAATTATACGAATATAAAGCTGAATATTCATCTATCTGTATGTATAGAATTTAAGGCAAATTTTGCAACTTTACTACAATTTATTTTGCCTAATAGCACTCTAAAGAGAACTGGCTCACACCGAGGGTGGACAGTTCGACTTCAGCAATGTACTGTACACTGTACACTGTAGCACTGGGAATCCAGGATCGTCCGTTGCATCCGTGGTCCTGTCAGTGACCGTCCATGGTCAACTGGTCCATGAGACCATTCATTGGTCCGGGCTGAGCTTTTCATCCAACTATGCCGCGACTTTGACTTGAGTCCAACAAAATCACAAAGGACCAACATCGATCACGGCGTCGCATTGTCTAAACAATGAGTCATACTGTACGTCACCCATAGCAGAATTGTTGTCATCCAGCCAAGAGCTTACTGGTAGGGCAAAGAGGACCATGAAAAACGCACGGTATGACGTCGCTACAGTACAATGCAGCAGAAGAAGGTCTTCTGTCTACAGTACTGTCTACTGTAGACACTGGCATCAAAAAGTGGACCTCAAACTTCACTCTGCGATCCATACTGTAACTGTACTAGGGACTGATGAGACGGACAACTGGCAACCCGCCCTATTGATTGTACTGCGCAATGACTCACCAAGCACAAAAGAAGGCCAACGCAAGCCAGTTGAACACTGTGATGAGTATCATCATAAGTTCAAAACATACTGGCAGTCAGTCATCAACGTTGTTGTACGGCATATCATCCACTTTAGTATTGGTTGGGCATCCATTGCGTGTAAACAGTTGATTTGTGCGACTTTGAATTTGTTCTTGATCATAATCATTCTCATTATTGGACACAAGTTCCTTGGAAAAGCATCTGATTGTCAATGTAGTTCACCGAGGCAACTTCATCCAAATCATTCAAGTCATGTCAGGTAAGAAAATGTGATACAAGAATGATCGATTTGAATTGTTGCATTCTCCAAAGGCGATGATGGTAGACAGCCATGTCCACTCAGTAAAACTCGTCCTTCAGCGTAGTTGAGCCTGCAATGGAGACTCTCATAGACACTTATCCCAAGTCCTATTTTGCCTCTCGGCTACTGTCATTTCATGGTCTTGATCAGGTGCTAAAGGCGATCATCGATCAATCCACTGCATTTCAATACTGGTCATCGTTTTGCAATCGATGTCGAAATGAGAGAGAATGCATTAGTGGAGATTGCCATCGATCCAATCGCTAGCCACCATTACTACACCCTTTGTCTGACGTAACTTGACCAACTTAGTCATGCCATGATAACACGATGAAGATTGAGTGTATGGCTATTACTGCCAAGTCTTACACTAAACACACGACTAGCGCCACTTTTGTCGCTAGTCTTGTCCTAGCTTGGCTTTGCCGTCGACGTAGCACTCCAGAGTACC